AGGATAAAGATTATATTGCTGCAGCAAACAATATGCAATCGTATATTCAGTAAGCTTAGCTAGCGGTTAGGGGTACATTTCGGGTATAAAATGACAAGCACGGTGTCTTAGTCAGAAACAACTATATTCACAGAACCATTCCGGTTATGAATATCCGTATTTATGATTTCTAAATGCTAGCTTTCCATAACTCTTCGACAATAACAGAATTTAGCAGACTTTTGGAAGGGTTTCTTACATTTCCTGAGCAGCTCTAGATGACTCCACAGAATCTCTCCTCTAGGGACTCTCTGGAAGAAATCTTCCTGGCTGATGTCACACAACTCCCCCCCAGGAATACTAAGGGCGTTCACATTGATATCAGAAATACCAAATTCCTTCATTACCCATAATACCCAATGCAGGACCTGGTCTGTAGACCACTGAACGGGATCTGTAAAACAAATAAATATAAATAAGTACATAAATATAAAAGGTCAATACTGAAGTTAAAGCCGAACTAATCTGTTTCCCAAAAGAACTCTTTGTTAGTTAAATCCTTAAACATATCAATGCTGTTTTCTGCAATATTTACATTTCTGCCAACTAGTGCATGTGTATTGTAGGTTGCATTCAAGGTAAGCGTCATTGCCAGCGTGCATATTTCAGCCGTGGTGTCTTATCTGGTCATGTGTGGTCAACTCAGTGGCGGCACCTGCGGTGGGGACATTCCCCGCTCCTTTGTGACATATAGCTGCAGGGTGGGGAATGCGCCTCTATGTACATAATAGGGTCGAGGTGACAGTCAAAGGTTTCAGTGGTCTTGGGCAAACTGTGTCCACACCGAGCTCAGCCTCAGTACAAGCAGCAAGCCACCAGAATGATAAGCTGGTCATCCACACCGCATGTGTCATAGCAAAGTTCAAAGGAGAATTTGTTTTTTTTTGTATAATAAGCGGAGCAGCAAGGCTGGATCCTGGACTGGAGACATTCCATGAAATGTGTGGATCTTATACTGTGTCATCTCCTAGCCGATTATTTTGGATTTTATGAAGCTACTCGCTGCACCTTTGTTCTCCAAGGCAGCATCCATTGTTACCATCACTCTCAGCGCAGTGCACATATCACAGTTTAGTTGATCAACTTTTTTTTTCAGTTTCTGACACTAAGTTTTCAATTCACTTTCACTCGTATTGGAACTTTTCATTTACCAGCAACACCAACATTGACTTTGCTGCAGCTTAATATAGTTATGATCATTCAACCATGTTTTGCATCCTCCGACTATGCCAATGACCTCTTCTAAAGCACTCCTCCTCCTACAAAACGCTTCATATACAGCAGACTTTAACCCCTTGTCTGCCAGGCCCTGCTCTCCATTTATTACCTTAGGTGGCCAGATCATTTTTGACCTTTGAGTTTAACAAACCCCTCAAGCTGTACATTTTCAGAAAGAACGGGACTGACGGAATAAAAAGATGGTGCCACTGAGTTGGAGATGAGACGTTTACCAAAACTATATTTTCAATAGAACTATACTAACATTACTATTAGCGCAGACAAACAGAACTTACTAAAATTACTACAAAAACTAAAAAACACATTAAACTGAATAAATATTTATAATTTTTAAATTAAGATTGTTTTGTGAAGTTATGAAAACTGCAAAACAGTATGTTATGTGTAATGCCTTATATGCTACTCTAATTGTTTTCACATTTCAGTAGTCAATCAGGAATGACAAACCCCGACAATATATACAACATTTTGAGGCAAGTCCTCAATATCCATCACTCCAGCCTTGCCCCGGGGGAAGGGGAGGAGGTCAGGACACTATCTGCAAGTGGTGTGCATATTCTCCCTGTGCTTGCATGGGTTTCCTCACACTCCAAAACATACTGGAAGGTTCATTGGCTCCTGTCTTGATTGGTCATGTATGTATGTATGTATGTACACGTGAGATAGGGACATTATTATTATACAGGATTTATATAGCGCCAACAGTTTGTGCAGCGCTTTACAATATAAGGAAGACATTACAATCACAATACAATTCAAGACAAGATGGAAAGGAGGGCCCTGCCCGAGGGCTTACAATCTAAAAGGGAGGGGGAGCCTAAAGCCCAGTTCCCACTGCGCGATTTGCATATTGCGCGAGATTTGCCGCGCGATGTCGCGTTCATGCTTGCATTGAGCAAGCTTGAATCGCGGCTAAATCCGCTCCAAAAAGGGTCCTGCTGTAGCGACACACGACCCGCGACAGCAGGACCCTTTGCCCCATTGGATTGCATTGGAGAGCGATATCGCGCGGTAATTTGCCGCTATATCGCGGGAATTACCGCGCGATAAATCGCTCAATGTGAACGGGGTCTTAGACTGTAAGCTCCTTGAGGGCAGGGACTGATGTGAATGTGCAGTATGTAAAGCACTGTGTAAATTGTTGGCGTTATAGAAATACCTGAAATAAATAGGGGGTGAGGGCACACAAGGGTTCGGAGAAAACCACGGTGGCCGATGACAGCTATTTATTAAGCAGCTCAGTCTAGGGTACCGTATTCTGCTTTAAATTCACAGTCGCTGAAGGGAACATAGGCGACATAAGGTATACTGACCTGGAAAGCTGGGAGAGATTCTGTTTGCCGTATGTCTTACATCCAGCAAGCTAACCAACTGGAAAAGCAGTTTAAAAGCCCACTGGGTAGCACTGTGCTTGGGACATTAAACGACAAACACATCTGTAATAAGAAGTCATGTGAATGTAAGGAATACTATATATTGTAGCTGAACAGGCTAGTCTATTCCGATATATAAAGTGTGGCTTCAGAAGATCGGACAGGATACCAGTCTGCAGGAAGGTGCGTTTAACAATGTTTTTGCTGTACAAATCCAAACTGGAAATATTTCCGTCTGAAATGGAAGATTAGGGTAAGGATCCATTTATATTTCCCCTAAATGAGATGGTACTGCATAGTCTACAAACTGGTCTATGACTTGAACTATTGATTTGATGGCACAAATGAAAATGCACATTACTGTAATACAATAATAGAATAAGACTTTTCCTTGATGAATACTCTGCAAACATTTACCATCATCTAAAAATCAAAAGCAACATCCACTGTAGTCCTTACCATACGGTATGCCTAAGCGTTCTTGCTCCTTCCTGTAGCCCTCCAATGCTGCTGCCCATCGTGTCACCTGTTCAGAGGTCTCATCAGAAATGGTGACATGCTTTGTATCATCCAGAGTGATCACCTGGGACTCCTCTACAAGCTGGGCTTCAACTGTACCATGATGGGCATCAGGGTCAATCACCACCTCCACAGTTTCCACCGGCTTTACAATCTCAAGTATGTTCAGCCTTGGCTCCATCCCTGGAACAGCCAAAGAGAAGAAACAATGCAACAAAATCATTAAACCTTCCGAAAATATTCTAATACTACCATTAAAAGTCAGTACAATTAATTCCATACAAAATTATAGTGTTTTTCAGATTGAATATCTGCATTCTGAAACCTGTTAAAGGCTCCACTCTGCTAATGCCTGTCTTAAAGCACACATTGACCTGATCTTCAAGCAGAACTATAAGCGCATCTAGTTTCCTCTTAGTTCCCCTGCAAAGTCCCCCAAATACCTGTAAAGGCGACCTCATGCAGCTTGTCCCTAATGTAAGCTGTGCCTGGGTGCACTACAGTGGGATGAGGAAATGACGCAGGGGGTGTGGCTAACAGCATCGTCACTGCGATTCACAAGTCTGCAGCTCATCAAACAGCAGCTAGCATAATATAGTCCTGCCAACTTTTCTTCATTGGCAGAACTGTGTGTGAGGCTAGAAACCCTCCCACTGTAAGCTGCAGTGTCTGGGAGTGGGTGCGAGTGAGATATAAATGGAGGATTTGGCTCAGACAGAGAAGGTAATTAAGATAGTTACGTTTTTTGTTACTTTGAGGATTGTGCATTACATAGTAACTGGATTTGAGACCTGTTTACATTGTCACACAGGAGCCTTTATATGTACGTTGGGTACAATTTACCCAAACTGATTCTTTTTTTTCTGCATAAGAGAACATTTTCAAAAATGCTCTTGTAAAACAAAGACTATTGCAGACATTTACAGGGTTATTCACAAAAAGGTGAAGGGTTTGGAGAAAGCAGGAGAAGTGAACAATCTAGGACAAAGTAGCTGAACTGGAAAGTGAGCCGATTTGGACAATTTTTCTAGTTCAGCTATGTTGTCTTAGATTGTTCACTTCTCCGGCCTTCTCCAAACTCTTCACCCTTTTCTGAATAACCATTAGAATGTACTATTCCAGCATGTTACACACAGCTATGTGGTCTCCTTGTATTTAGAAACTATAGCTTGGATTGTGTGGTAAATATCTGTGGCTGCACTATATACAAAACTCCATCTAGGGAAAAATTACAGATCTTTCTTTCATTCTGTCCTCATTTAATTAAACCTTAGAAAAATAAGCATCCATGTCTACTACCAAATTAAAGTCCCATCAAACATAATAGGTGCAATCCACCAAGATGGATTCATTATTTGATCACTATTTATTTTATCCCATGATTATCTTCAAACCTGTTTAATTCACAAACATAAAAAGGTAATAGATGCGTCATCTTTATTTTTCCACAAGAAATTAAATTTAATCTGCTGAAAGTCTTTTGTCATAAATCGTTATTTTATCGCCATCTTAAAATGGCTCTTTCCTGCTCTCCTCCACAGACATCTAGTGAAACTCCCAGATGTCAGCCTGCAGCAGGGGATAAAATAACACTGACCGTGGTAAAATATGAGAGAGGAGGTAGATAAGGTGTGGAATCAAGAAAAATCAAAAAAGGCCAAACAGAAAGGTAGCTTTGTTAATTGAGCCCGTGTGGGGTACATTAGAATTGACTAAAAAAAGGAAGAAGTTATGGAGGTGCGAAAACAAACAGTTGGGGCTCTGGGACTCAATTCATTAAAACTGCCTATATACGTTTCTAATTTCCTTTGTTAAACCTGCCGCCTGAACGAAGAAATAAGAGCAAACTTTTGTAGAGAAGCACCACCCGAATAAGACTGTAGCAGTGCGAGCGATGAGTCTGTTTAACGACAATGCAATGTCACATTGGATAGATTCCTTGTTAAGGTTTCACGAAATGAAAAAGATCCCATTGAGTCAAGAGATAGCAGTGATTCTGTTACTGATAGTGAAACTCGTCCTACACAATAATCCTCCTCTCTTATCCCCCTCACACCAGCCACGAAGGTACCTGTAATTGGTTTATTTTTCTTTATATTTTATATACAGTATTATATTACAGTACTGTATTGTAATCTTTTTTATATGAATATTTTTGGGTTGTGGAACGAATCATCTGAATTTCCATTATTTCCTATGGGGAAATGCGCTTTGATATACAAGCGCTTTGGATTACAAGCATGCTTCCGGAACGAATTATGCTCGTAAACCAAGGTATCACTGTATAGATAATGCAGCCGATAATGCAAAACCATTGCGATAGTGGGTCGGGGAAGTCCCTAAGCCTCATGGTACATCCCAGATCTATAGACAGCATAACTGACAGGTGACTAATGGAGCAATGTTAAAAAAGGGAAAGGAAAAAAAAATGCCAGTTGCCTTTGTCAGTATAGTAACCATTTTTAAAGTGTTTTCTTGAGAACTGCTCTTAAATCTGGACAAGGAAACGGGGAGGGGGGGAAAGGTCAAGGAAAATACATTACTTTAATATAATGAATACTAACCTTGCTGGGATATAACCTGCACACTAAGCTGTACGGATCCATCTGTTTTAACTCCTTGATCAAATAAACTTCTGTCAGGATCGAGCTGGAAGAAGAGTTTCAACATAAACGAGCAGTTCATAATGTAACCATCACAATACAGATGCAGTGAACATGCCAGCTTCTATTTTTACATTATATTTCAAAAAGCTTATTCTCATAAACCAGTGTATGGAAATGACAAACACAGTATAAAGACTCTTTAATCTGCTTTTAAGGCACATGTCTATTTAGCTAAAGGCGCAAAGGATAGAGATAATATTGTTTTCTGACAAGGGAAGAAGGGGCTGCAACAACTAATCGATTATAATCGATTGAAAAAGTTGCCAACTTTTTCAATAATCGATCGGCTTCCGATCAGTTAATCAGATTAATCGATTTTGAAAATAATCGTTAGCTGCAACTTTAAATTTTTGGTATCTGTGTCTTTGTATTGGCATGAAGGAATTAGGTTGGACTTGATGGACTAATGTCTTTATTCAACCTCAAATACTATGTAACTATGAATTCTTTCACTTCATGGCAAAGTATACAGAATTTTCAGCAAAAGCGCAGGCTGTTGATCCAGTGTTTGCCGCTGCTCACTTGAAGCGACAAGAACTCTGCATTTCTGGAAACATCATAAATCATTTCTTCACCTGCTGAAAATGTTCTTAGCCTAAAAAAATTAAACCGAATACAGCCACCGCATCTCAGGACTGGTGAGCCGCCATAGATCACATATTGGCTCTTCCGAAGAGCACTTTGCACATCTTTACACGTGGAGTACTGTGACTCTTTAGTAACACACAGACCTACAGCTACACAAATCATGGCTTTTACCTGGATGTCTTGTAAGAAGATTTCATGTGCCTCAAGACAACACTGAAGTCTGGGCTCTAGTAGCTTCTTCAGATTTCCAACTGGCTCATTTATATCGATTGCCTGGCTCACAAACTCGGCTGTAGTATAGGTCTGCTCTATAATGCTAAAAGGATAAGAAAATGAATAGTTTAGACTCAAAATAAATACCAATTTAGCAATGCAACAGAAAGAGGCTGACGGAGACCCGATCAATATTATATTACTACTGACTGTGCTTACTATAGCTAAAGAGACTTGAATTAAAGGAGAACTAAGAGGTGAGTGATTTTCACTCACCTCATAGTTCTAGCCGACCTGTGACAATGAGACTGTCACAGGTCTGCTCAGTAGATCGGGAGGTGAGCGAACACATACCGGCGTTCGCTCACCTCTCGATCCTGTCACGGCTCTCTGCCGTGACAGGGGAGGGGCTGGATTTCCCGCTCCGATCCGGCAGCGCTGACTGGCGGAACGGACGGGGCTGTTACAGTTGGCTCTGCCTCTAGATAGGCAGAGCCAGCTGTCAGTCACGCAGCTGGGCGGATCCAAACATAATTGTCGGGATCCGCTTTAGCTGCGGCGTCTCAGTATACCGCGAGCAGCAGCTCGCGGTATACTGAGCCTAGGGTGACGGGAGGACGCTAGTTTGTGTCCTCCCGTTACCCTGAGAACTAATGGGGAAAAGCCTTAACCCCATAGTTCTCCTTTAAGGATTTTACATTTACTGTAATTTCATTTGGAGTACCATATTATAATCAAATATGTTCACACACACAGAAATTTATCAGGGCGCCACACTATTGCTGCTAAATCCAAGAATGAATAAAACAAACCTGGGCAAACACAACAACTACTTATAGAAAACTTCATGAAAATAGAGAGTAAAAACCTTTTCTTTTAAAAGCAGCTATGCCAAAACATTTTAAAGCTTTGGATAGAGCAAGGAAAGGGTTAAAACCCGTCAGCTTATGTTTGCTGTCTGTGTACCATTGTGGACATTTTCCTTCACTTCCTATCCCAGAGACGCAACAGGAAGCTAGAGGAAAACTCTCAAATTGAGGGGAATTCTCCCGTAGTGGACCTTACATTATACAATCTGATTGTACAATCTCTTTTACATCTACAAACATGTATGTAAGGGCATGCGTGAACGGAAACAAATGGAATAGATTGTTTAGGTTTGCAAATGTAAAGGAGATTGTACAACCAGATTGCAGTTTGTATGGTCACCCTTAGACAGATATCCCTGGAACAGGTGTCCCCACTGGAGGATTTCCCATCACCTCCTGTTATTGGGATAACTCAACATTTCTGGATTTCTAATTTCTTTGACAATAGTCGCTAGTAGAAATAGTGGGGTGAATGTCCCCAGTGGGACTCAGACAGCAATATAAACTTGACAGAGGGTCTAACCCTTCCCCACGCCACCCAACACCATACAAAGGTTCTGCCTAGTAATGCATTACGTTCTGGACAGATTAGGGTCTTAGTTTAACTTTCTGTGAACGGTTATGAGATTTCCTCTCAGTCCCCGTCCCACAGACAACAGGAAGGGAGAGGAAATCCTCTCTCACCTGTCAATAGAACAGATGGCCATATGCCAAAATTGCCCCTCACTTCCTCTTCTGATGACAAATGTAAACATTTGGATTTCCTGCCACTTGCTTTCCTGATGACAAAAGGTCACCAGAACAAAGAAAAATCCACCCATGGGGGACACAGCAATAAAAAGCCTGACAGACGTTTAAACACTTCCCCAATCTCTCCAAACACATCTTTAGGTGGTGCTGGTTAGTATGGCCATGTAACCCAAAATCTGTTTTTAACTTTTGCTACAATACCCGGTGTAGCAGTAAACAGATCGGGCGCTCGGTTAAATGCTGTGACCAAGTAAAATGCAGACGTTTTCCATTCTAACATGTTCTCAGGGTGTTTAGGCAGGTAACAGGAGCAAAGCATCACCAGTGTGGTAGCGCTCAAAGGACAGTGAGTGATCACTTAAAAGCCGCAAGTTGCAGACATGGGCAGGAGGGTGAGACCACAGTTCAAAACGGGACCTGTGTGTGAAACACAAGAGGAGCTAAACACACATTCTGGCAGCTAAAAGCATTGAAGTGCATTTAAATCAGCTGCATATTTATCTGGGGTCCTATTTAACCAGTTGACATCAAAAAAATTGCCGTCTGGAGACGGCAACCCGCAGATGTAGCAGTGCCGTCCGTCCGTTTTTTACTACGGGCGGACGGCAAGAGGTTAACCTGGTGTTCTATAAAAGTTTGTGACTGCGTTAGAATGTGTGACCGGTGATGTGGTCACACCAATTTTAACCTAATCCCGCCCAGTTTTTTGGCGCTGGAAAGGTGAAGAATTCCAACGCTTTCTCAGCTGTTCGAGGGCAGATCGGCACCGCAGATCTAATGTGCATGAGAACCGGTTCTGCCCTGGAACAGCCAATCGGTCCTGAAATGTCACTTTGTGACTGCGACCTCACATTCCACAAAGTCGGATAGAAGTGACATTTCAGGACCAATCAGCTGTTCCAGATGTTCTCCCGTACATACGATCTGTGATGCCGATCTTTTTCCGGTCACATATTCCACCACCGAAAAACTGGGCGAGACTACGCTAAAATGTTTGACCATGTGACTGGTCACACATTCCAACCCAGTCACAATCTTTGATAGAACACAGGCATCATGATAAACCTACTAGAGTGTTTAAAAGTAAGGGATGCAAAAAAAAGGGATGCACCGATACCAAGTACACCCTCAAGTACTCGCTGATACCAATTACCAATACTTATTTTGTGGGTCATGTGACAGTTTTTCTAAAACACAGACTAATGATTTTAGGACAGTGGTGGAGCGCCAGAGCCCGGTCCCAGCTGCAACTTCTGCCACCCTGGTAGTTCTGCCACTGCCTAGCTGTAGAGGGACTACAAATCTCAGCAATGCATTATACAGTAATGCAGAAGGGCACAGGCTAAATGACTACAAATCACAGCAACTAATTATGCAGCAATGCAGAATAATATGTTGCTACATACTCTGTGCTGCTCTGGGGTGCTGGCCTGATGTTTCCAGTGGAGGGCAAGATGTGTGGGTGGTGGAAGCACTCTAAACAGCGCTGTGTGGTTCCCCAGAAGGCTGCCTTGAGTTACTCAGCAAGCACGGGACCCTGAGGCAGTCGCTTTAGTTTAAAAATTGAAAGCAGCGGTATCGGTTTTTAGTATCGGGCAATCCCTAAACAACACACTTCATAAAAGAAAGAATGTGCATTTATAAAAAACAATTCTTGCATTGGACCCAGTAAAGCATTGCAACTGCAATAAGTGGATCAGATTCTTCCTCACGCCCATGTTAGCACTGAGGTATGAGCAGCCAAGTAACAGGCAAGAGAGAAAGTATGAATGGACTACATGTGCAGTGACGCCATCGCACTTTTATTCCACTGAGAACTAAAAGTCCCTCTGCCATAGTTCTCCATTCACAGATCCTGTCAAAATGAACTTGGCCTTTAATGACACCCTCTTGACTATATAATAGCCTTGGAGGAGGTAGGTAAAGCCAGGAACTCTAGAGAAATGATCTTGCGCTAAAAAGGGGATTCCTGTATTTGTGGCACCCGGGAGCAAAAGCTGCTGCTTATTTCTGTCCATAGGAACGTATGGACAGAAAATATGTGCATGAACAGGAGTTCCCAAACAGGGGAGTTTCATAACCAGGAACATATGCCTGGTTGTACAGTGTGTTCTGTCCATACATTTCTATGGACAAAAAACAAACCCCAACACACAATTGCAGCAGTTGGGGCCCCGAGAGGCATATTTCGAACAATATGCGTGTATGAACCCTACACAATGAGGAAGAATCTGTGTGGTTTCAGCACTTACCTTTCCTCTGTGCACTCTGTCTTCTCTGAACCATCTATTTCTATCTCTATCAACTCCTCAGCCTCCCTCTTCGTCATGGCTGCAAAGTCACAAGTGCAAGCCTAGAAGAAATAGAATGAGCAAAAGTCAATCATTTTTTTGAAGACTTTACATGATAAACATACAAACATTTTTCTTTCCTAATACAGTTTCTTGAAACGTTGCCAATACAATGCAAAAGATGAAGACAAATATATATGAGTGTTCACAACATACTTAGAGGTTATGTTCCCTTCCAGGTATTGATTGTAGCCGTAGCCAGCAACTTAAACATACAATCTTCAAACTAAAAATAAAAGAATCAGTACAAATGGTAATCTGCGATTGTATCTACTCTCAAACTCCTTTGGTTAGGGAGAGCTATTTGCCTCATCTCTTAAAGTGCAACTAAAGCCAAAACTAGTTTTGGACAGAGTGGAGAGGGATTAGACACCCTGTCAGGATTCACTGCCGTCTGTGTCCCAGGTAGGGAGATTCACTCTATTTGTCCGGGGACTTATCAAAGTGTAAGAAAATCCCAGATTTTGGGTTGTCAGAATAGGAATAGATGAGAAATCTTCTAAGGGGGGCACCAGTTCTGGTGACCCTGCCAACCACCAGATTTTCCTCACTTTGCAGAGATTTCCAGTCACTTCCTGTTGGGGCTACCAAACAGGAAGTAAAAGGAAATGTCCCCAACAGGACACAATAGCACAAAAAATCCTGACAGTTGTTAGAACGCTCGCTTTCACTATAAAAAAAAAACCGTTTTGGCTTCAGCTCTACTTTTTTTATATCCTCTGGTTCAGTAGGCATCAAGCCCCCATTAGACCCAGAAGGTCTAAACATCATACTAATAAGGGCTGCAGCTAACAATTATTCTTCATAATCGGTTAAAAAAATTATCGGACAACTAATCGATTGGTTGTATAAAAAAAATATATATAAAAAGAAAAACCTATCTCTCTCCTTCCCCAACCAACTAGTCGATGATGAGAATAGTTGCCAACTATTCTGATAATTATCGATTTAATTGATTAGTTGTTGCAGCCCGAATACTAATAACCAAAGTACTGGGCTACTGCTGTGAGGAAACCTGAAATTACCAAAAACAAAGTCTTTAATGCCAACAGCTTTATAAATGTTTCCTCTGCTGTACAAAGCATATTACCAACACTGAGATCACAGGAGAACAGACGGGCTTTATGGAGATTACAGTGCAGAGGTAAGGCACTCATGCATGCTTAACATGCGATTAGCATACATCTCAAAATCCCAACAATTATGTACAACTCTAATGTGCCATGTTAAATGCAAGGTCCACTACTCATAAGCATTTAATGAAGTGAACGAGGAGCATCTCGCTTGAACACGTTAAACTGAACACTATATGCAGTGCTCAATAGCCATTTACTGCTCATGAGAGCTTGTAAGAGGCATCACACGCATTCAATGGAACATATAACATGTTGCAGCGCTGGGTAAACAAGTCTACGTGCCACAGGCATTTTTGCCCAAGCTTTCCTTTAACATCATACAAAATTCTTCGTTTGAAGGAAGTGCTGTAGTACTGAAATTGATCATCGCTAATCATTGAGGAGTCTCTAAAAATTCTTCATACTCTGGGAGACCTCACCAATACGTTCTGAAAGTCTGGAAAATTGTATAAGCGTCCCATATAAAAAAGTGTTCAATAAACTTTAATCTGTAGTACTTTAAGTCAACAAAATGCAAGAAAAGTGAAAACAGCCGTCCACGTGTGCTTCCGGATGAAGCGTTCAGGAAGTGGATACAGACTAAATGCTACACAGGAAACAGATTTAAAACGAGTTAAGCAAAACAAGGAAACCATTCTAACAGTGCACAAAGAAAGCAACCCCAGCAGCCAGAGATCTCTGAACAAAAGTAAATGAAAGATCAACTCAATTATAAAGTCATACGTAAAACGATTACCTTCTACTATAGATTAGAAGGACCACAGATCAATCAACATTTCTGTACCCCATAACACCAGATACCCTTAGACATGAGACGACAGTCTCTCGCTACAGACCATCTAGTGCCAACAGGGGCCAAAAAAAAGTAATTTAACCCTTTCACCAACATAAGGCATAAAGCGGAACACAAGCGCTTGCAGCTGCCCACATCGGTGGCTTTTACCATTCTGCTATAAGCTCATGGTCGCTTTAGAGACCATGAACTTACACCAGACGGGTTCTCCTTATAGTCCTCTGTAAAATAATAGTGGTCATCAGCGGTTGACCAGAGCTATTAACAAAAATCTCAGCTGCCTGGAATAAAAAACAGCATTAAAAACACAACCCAGCACATACACGAGCACCATAAAATATGCACCATATTGTGGCGTATGCCATGCACATGAGATGCGTTGTTAGAATGCATTGCTGGGCTTTCTTTTTAAAATAACAGTTTGACTGCGTGGCAGCACGTGAGAAAGCAGTGTCACGCATTGCCGTGCGTTGAGATACGTTATGCGGCAATTAAATGTACACCTGTATAGAGCTGCAGCTAACGATTATTTTCAAAATCGGTTAGCCGATTAAGTTCGATTAAAAAATAAAATACATTTTTAAAAATGGCTCCAAGGATAAGTGACAGATATCCCAGCAGGATGCAGGGACAGGTCATTCTCTAGACAGGGAGGAATGTAAAACACAACTGAGATATATTTTCCCCTCACAGTCACTAACATCCCCTGAGATCCACATGGAGGCAGAAATCTCGACCCACCAGGAAGTGTCGGCTGCAGGAGCAGGCTTACATCATTCTCACCTAGGCTAGAATAAAGGTGTAGCAGGGTGGAATGTAAACATAGGAAAGAAAAAGTAAAAAAAATTTTACAGTGGAGGAATACAATGAGGCAAAGCATTTTTTTAAGTAAACGCCTCAATTATTATAGTTATAGTATTTGAGGTTGAAAAAAAAAAAAAGGCACAGGTCCATCGAGTTCAACCTTTGAGAGCGCACGTGTTTATATAGGAGTAAAAATGCTTTACATGACAGGAAAGAAAAGGACACGGATGAAGAGAGACATTTAAATAAATGAAGGGTGTGAGTAAGGTTCAGGAGGACAGTATTTTCAATATGAAGCGAAGATCAAGAATTTGGGGACATGACAAAAACTAGTATTAGGGAAATTTGGGTAACAAATTATTTCACAGAGAGTAGCTGGGGTAGTGAACCAGTCACAAGTAAGGCACGATTCACACCATGGCGTTCCGGGAATGCACGTCACATTCATTCATTAATGTTCGCCGCACGTCTGAGATCAAAGCGACCTGATTTCACACACAAAAAAACTCATGTAGCAAACTCTGACACGCACTCCATGTTTTTGTTGACATGCAAATTTGGAGAAAAACATGCATCTTCCCAGCATTTGGTGTGCTATTAGGAATCAATGACAACACAATCGTGTTTCGCGTCTTGCCACGTTTTTGTCAACACGTGTCAAATGTGTGAATGCAGGCTAATGCTACGCTAGTCTGTTGTCACAGCTCCAGTGGGGGATGTGCTGCCTTACATTACACTGTTTATCTTAAAAACTTTATTTGTAGTGTGCAAGCTGTACACTCCATTCAGGTCCCCAACAAAGCAGTGTATTGTTCTGCCCTGCAATGCCACTGTGTCTACATCTTTCCACAGCACAGAACACACCAGCGTTGTGATGTGAAATGGGCACAGAGAGAACAATTGCTTTCAATGTGCCCTAGCACTGATCTGCATTTATCTTGTGCAGAAAAACATAGGTTCGCTGCACATAACATGAATGTAGCCTCAGGACTTGTCCACGCCATGGCCGTTAAGCTGCATTTTTCTGCACACCACCAAATATCTTTGGTATGGACCAGACACAGAAAACTATTGTCTTCTATGTGGCCTGTTCACACCATAGATGAGCTGCGCGATTTCTGCACACCATAGATGAGCTGCGCGATTTCTGCACACCGTAGATGAGCTGCGCTTTTTCTGCACACCGTAGATGAGCTGCGCTTTTTCTGCACACCGTAGATGAGCTGCGCTTTTTCTGCACACCGTAGATGAGCTGCGCTGTTTCTGCACACCGTAGATGAGCTTCACATTTTCTGCACACCGTAGATGAGCTGCACATTTTCTGCACACTGTAGATGAACTGCGCTGTTTCTGCACACCGTAGATGAACTGCGCTGTTTCTGCACACCGTAGATGAGCTGCGCTGTTTCTGCACACCGTAGATGAACTGCGCTGTTTCTGCACACCGTAGATGAGCTGCGCTGTTTCTGCACACCGTAGATGAGCTGCGCCGTTTCTGCACACCGTAGATGAGCTGCGCTGTTTCTGCTCACCGTAGATGAGCTGCGCTGTTTCTGAACACCGTAGATGAGCTGCGCTGCTGTTTCTGCACACCGTAGATGAGCTGCGCTGCTGTTTCTGCACACCGTAGATGAGCTGCACATTTTCTGCACACCATAGACAAGCTGCGGTTATTTTTGCACACCATGGATGAGCTGCGTTTTCTACACAACATGGATGAGCTGCATTTTCTATACACCATAGATGAGCTGCGTTTTTGTGTGCACACCACCAAACATTTATGGTGTGAACAGGCCACATAGAAGACAATAGTTCTCTGTTCATAGTCCATACCAAAGACAGAAAAATGCAGCTCAACAGCCCCAAGGTGTGAACAAGCTCTAAGCCGGAGCTGCACAAATTCCAGGAACCAGGAAGCCAATGCCCCTGAAAAATAACAGCTGGCGCCCAACTTTTAGGTTCTCACTAGATGTTGTCGAGACATCTAGCTCCTGGATTGGACAGACTGGGTTCTGAACTCCATATTACTTGTCCACCCCTGACCCTAAGGCAGTGGTTTTCAACCTTTCTAGGGCCGGGACCCCTTGGTAACATTTGCAAAGTTGTGGTGACCCCCAACGGTAAATTTTAGGGATGACGCAGCTGCTGCAGCAACATCTGGCGGCGTGGTGGGAGAACTGACACTGCTGCTCTAGGTGAGGGCTGAGGAGGACTCTCACCTAGCACAGCAGAAATCACACAGCGACCCACAGCTTGAGAACCACTGTTCTATACCATCCTTCTCCCCTGTACTATCCCCCCCGCCCCCTATACTATGCCATCCTTCTCCCTGTGCCAGGTCTTGCTCATTGTTGCTGGCAGCGATTAGGTCCTTCTTTCACCAGGTCCTTGATGCACTTATTGTATCAGCTCTGCCCTGGGTGCCTGAACTCCAAGGGCTGCCCCCCTCAAGGGTTGTGTCCGTACCTCCATACCCAAATGTAAGTTCATCTCTGGGACTTCATACCACAAACGGATGACCAGCAGCATCCTCCAATAAGAAGTCAAACAGGGTGGCGGGATTGACCAACACTGGAGGAGACCAAATCTGGAACAGCTGCCCACAACAACCAAAAAATGGGAGCAGACAGAATCTGGAGCAGTTGTCCGAAGCAACCAATCAGCTTCTCTCTTTAGTGTGGAAAATGAAAGGGAGAAGCCAAATCGTTGCCATGGACAACTGCACCAGTTGATATACGCCACTATCCCTCCTGCACTCCTGACCAGTATACCCCGGGTTAGATGGGTGCTGACGTGATTATACTATCAGCAGTGCATGCACCCAGGAAATAAAGAATATTTCACCAGCACACCGAGGATCTTCTTCCAAAAACGTATTTTATCACATTTCAACCTAGCGCCAGACAAAATGTGACATTTCAGGACAACGCAGGCTTCCTAGGGACTCTATGCCTGATTAAAGGTACCCTGCGTGGTCCCAAAACATAATGCTATTTGCCACTGTGTTGAAACCTCAATAAAAGGTGATTTTTGAGGAAGACCCTCAGTGTGCTGGAGAAATATTCTTCATAAAAAGTGACCACCCAAAAATAAACAAACGATGCAGCATCTGAGATCACAACATGGCAGAATGCTAAATCACCAGCAATCCAAATTCATATTCTCCCTTCTGATCTGAGTATGCCACCATCACTTACTTGAAGGTCTTGACCACCAGGAAAGCAGCTTCGTATGTGGACTCTGTGGGGTCACCATGGGCAGAATAAAGGAAGAGGGGAGGCAACCAAGACTAGGAGGCAAGAGGTCACCATACTGGGTTCAAAACGGCACCATATTGTCTCCTACTAGGAGTCAGGGAACCATAACAACACAAGACCATGACATCACCCTGCTCCCATCACTAAATCAGCGTGACAACGTAGAGATCCGACCAAGTCTGGGGCTATAACTAAACTTTCTCAGTACTATAGGAGATTAATAGTAGCTTCTAGACCACAGCGGGAAGAGGGACAGCTGCCTGATGTAAAATGTTATTAGAAGCTCCCTGGGGACAGGTTCTCTATATCAGGCGTACAGGCCGCAGCCCCGCCCTGCCACTAGTCTTACCCCAGCCGCCTTCCTCCTCTTCTCCCGGCTCTCCTCAGGAAAACAGACCGTGCCGCCAACACGCAGCGCGGCCGACGGAAACAAAACACAGCCTAGGCGGAAAAGACGAGAGACTGGCTCGCCTCCACCGGATATCGAATGACGCACTTCCGCTAGACCTCGCGCAGCCCCTTGGCGGGAAGGTACGCGGAAAAGTGAGGAGGCGGGGCCAGAGAGTGGGCGGGGTTGTTTGAGAAACTCGGGAATGCGCTCTGGAGCTTCCCGCCTGGTCGGGAACGCGCTGGCCGCTGTTCCCAGTGGGACTTCAGCATAGACACACCGTTGTTGCAGGGTTCTGCAAAGAAACCTGTAGTGCGAGAATAACGGGCTGCGTCATTTCTAGTTGTAATTTGAAAAAGCTCACTTTAAAGCGAACCTTTCATGCTGAATAGACGGTCCGTATTTTGTAAGCCTGCTCCCTACCCCACCTTCTACAAATGGCTTTAAAAAGTGGTTTGTAAACAGATTACATTCGGTGTAGCGACAGTCTCATTAGCTGCGGCGGCGTAGGGAGAGTCCCATTCGTACTGGGGCGTAGTGAGAGTCCCATTCGTAAGGGGGCGTAGGGAGAGTCCCATTCGTAACGGGACGTAGCGAGAGTCCCATTCGTACCGGGGCGTAGCGAGAGTCCCATTCGTGCGGGGGCGTAGTCCGAGTCCCATTCGCGCCGGGGCGTAGTCAGAGTCCCATTCGTGCCGGGGCGTAGCGAGAGTCCCATTCGTGCGGGGGCGTAGTCCGAGTCCCATTCGCGCCGGGGCGTAGTCAGAGTCCCATTCGTGCCGGGGCGTAGTCAGAGTCCCATTCGTGCCGGGGCGTAGTCAGAGTTCCACACGTTTGTGGAACTTTGTTTCTAGTGTTTGGCATGTGCCCCCATTGAGTACCTTGATGGAAAATAAGTACATTTGGCAACATGTGCACCGTGTATGGGGTGCCATTACCGTATTGTAAAGGTGCACACTTCTGTCCACGTTCACCATACCCTCTTGTGTGAATGGGGCCTGAAAAGAACAAAATACCTCGACCCTGGCCTCAGATGCCATGTGGGGTGATGTCACAATGCCTCATCGCTGCTTCCTAGGACAGCTGGGTACTCAAAACCCTGTGAGAATGCATTCTTCCAATGGGCTTGGTAGAGGCACACTGCCTATCAGAGAGACGTCAGTTCGGGTGTTGTGCCTCTGCCCCCTCTGTGCTTCTCCATGTACAAAATATGAAGGTGTCCAGAAGTGTAATAATCGAGGTTCCCCTCTGGTTGGGCTTTTCAATGTAGTGACAATCAGTTGGAATAAATACAGCTGTTGTCTGTCAGGGTATATCTAGATTTGCAGTCACTAATGTTGCCCAGGCTGAGATGAAGTCATCACTCTGCTTAGGGGAAATCAGAGATCAGACTGCAACGCTTAATTTGTAGCAAGTCTCCAGGGAGAGGCTGATCTGTGTGACAACTGTGCAGACACCAGCATTTATATGAATGTGTCATCTCAGGAAGTAGATGGTGACCCTGAATGATTCCAAAGCTGGTTCTGTCCTTCTGAAGAGGAAAGCAGATCTGGATGGGCCTGAGGAGCATAGGGAATAGTATGTTTACCATGTCCTCAATCATGAATGAACAGGAAGTCATATAGAGCACTTCCTGTTCATTCATAATTGGGGACACAGTAAACATACTGATCACTGACTGCTTGTACCTGTACTCCATCCTGATTCGCTATCACAGGGGGCTGAGTTGGCGTTGCAGGAAAGCTCGGTCTCTTTTGACAGCTGACTCCTCCCCCACACTGCTGGCTCAGCCTTCTGCGACAGCTCACAGCTGTCTCCGCCCCCACACCACTCTCCTGATCTATCAGGAGGCTGAGCGGGGCAATGCGGAGAAGAGCTCCTCCCCACCCCGTTCGGCCTCCTGACAGTTTCTCTCCTTCCCCGGTGTGCACTGCGCCTTCAGAGGGGACACAGAGCAGCGCCCAGCGAGGAGAAAGAAATCACCGATGCACAGCAATTTCGGCCGAAAGATGGTACATTTGGCATTTTGCTCAAAGTACTAATAAACTTCAAAAATGCATTCAATACCCCAACTATTAACAACAATGTATCCTATTTGTGTATCACTCGACTGTAGATCCTCAAATCATCTCCAAGCTCGCTCCTGTGATGGACTACAATCTCACGTTTAGTTTACTAATTTGTAGTGGGCATGTAGTCCATCACAGGAGCGAGCTTGGAGATGATTTGAGGATCTACAGCCGAGTGATACACAAATAAGATACATTGTTGTTAATAGTTTAGTTTTGTTAATAGCCCTCCCAACCCTATTGTTCTGAAACTGTATTGCGCTGTAAATTGTATTGTAACTGTACTGTCTCCACTATTTTGTAAAGCGCTGAGCAAATTGTTGTTGGCGCTATAAAAATTCTGTATAATAGGGTACTTAAATGTATTTTTAAGGTCTAACTCCTGAGTTTAGTGTCACTTTAAAACCTTGCATCCCAACTGGTGGGTCGTGACCCAAAAGTGGGTCGCGACCCCGTGTTCAGTGGGCCACCACATGCGTTTCACTTTTCTAGGTGAGAGGCTCCTCAGCCTCCCCCTAGCGCAGCACTGTCCGTTCTCGCACCAAGCAGCCATTCAAAATATGCTGCCAGCGTATGTGTTTCAGCATGAGGTGGGGTGGGCTAGGTCTATGGCTACAAGGGAGCTCCATCCATACATGCATTGCTTACAGCTCCCTCACGTGTCCTGTAGAGGTGCCTAGAGCAGAATGATGTCACAGCACAGCAGCCCACACTGGACCCCAGGCTAAGCAACCACTCCAGTTCTTGTAAGGTAGGGAGACTGGATGGACCTTAAAAAAAATAAAACATTTTTTTGGAGTGTGTATGTGTGTGTGACTTAATGACCAAAGACAAATGTGGGTCATGGGGTTACACAGGTTGAGAACCACTGCTTTAAAATATTCTGTTGTTTATCCAGTCTTCAGAATGGGGAAGAGGTTTGATCTAAGCAATTCAGCTGTAACGTAGAGGTTGGAGGATGGAACCACTTGCAGTTGAGATATGTGGACGTGTGGAATGGCGTAGTCTGCATCTCTAGAACAGCAGAAGGTAGGAGACACGGCCAATGGAGAGGCAAGAAAACACTTCTCTTTTGCAGACCTTTCACCTGGATTGTGTTAAACGTAGGGGGTCACTTTAATTGAGAGGCTTAGCATACCAGTCAAGGAGCTCAGCAATGGCAGCTTCTGTATTTCTGTCCTGACAGATTTACGGAGTAAAGGTTCACTTTAAGACATCCACTTACACGTGAAACTCGAATAATTAGAATATCGTGCAAAGTTCATTTATTTCACTAATGCAACTTAAAAGGTGAAACTAATATATGAGATAGACTCATTACATGCAAAGCAAGATAATTCAAGCCGTGATTTGTCATAATTGTGATGATTATGGCTTACAGCTCATGAAAACCCCAAGAACCCCAAATCCACAACCTCAAAAAAGTAGATTATTACATGTAATCAATAAAACAAGGATTGTACATAGAACAATATCGGACCTCTGAAAAGTACAAGCATGCATATGTACTCAGTACTTGGTTTGGGCCCCTTTTGCAGGACTTACTGCAATTACTTTTGCACGATATTCTAATTATTCGAGTTTCACCTGTATAATGTGCTTTCAGCAAGTTAGAACATAAAGCAGTCAAATGACTTCAGAATTGTTTAATATATGGAACAGTAGAAGGATGAAAGCCACCACTGTTGTTTTTTTTATACATAATTAAATTATTCACAAAAAAACATTCTGCTCATCATCTTTACCAAGAGACAAAATATATTAAGAGCCCAGTTCTGTGCTTTACTTAAAGGAGAACTATGAGGTAAGTGAAAATCACTCACCCTCATAGTTCGAGCCGACAAGTGGCAACGAAACTCACACATCGGCTCAATAGATCGGGAAGTGAGTGAACGCATACCGTCACTCGCTCACTTCTCGATCATCTCCCTGCAGAGAGCGGTGACTGTCAGTCACGGCTCCCTGCAGGGATTTTCCCCTCCCCGCTCCGATCCTCCAGCACTGACTGGGAGGAACAAACAGGGGAGGGGGCAGGCACAGCTGGCTCTGCCTCTAGATAGGCAGAGCCAGCTGTCACTACCGCAGCTGGGTGGATCTCAACAGTAATGTCAGGATCCGTCCCGGCTGCGGCGGTCTCAGTATACAGGGAGCTGTAGCTCGCTATATACTGAGATTTGGGTCACGGGAGGAGGTTAGTATATGTCCTCCGGTGACCCTAAAGAGAACTATGGGGAAAAACACTTACCCCATAGTTCTCTTTTAAATGACAGTGCTCAGTGAATATCACACTCCTTACACAGCTTATCAAACATGCTGAAACACACACATTTTTTGTTTGATATACTAAACATATTTCCAGGATCTATTTTCAGTTTTGGAACATCCAATACAAATCACAATAAATTATCTTCTATGATTAAAATAATTCAGTGCATAATCACTCTACACTTGTATATGAGTGTCATCAACACACACACATGTTCAGGTTATGCTACAGATGACCTATTCCCTTTCTACGACCGATATTGCTGCACATGATGGGGATAAGGAAAGAGCAGATGGAAATGTTGTCAGGGTGTAGTTCTAGTTTGAAGTGTGCACATAAACCAGGCCTTTATCATTGTAAAGTGGGGTGCAGCAGGGTTTGATTATTTGGATGGGCCTTTACATCTGTGACCACAAAGACATTTTTCTCCTTTTCCAATCGTAGCGTTATCCAGGACTTGTGCGAGCTGTATGATTATAATCCTGTTTGGGGGTGCAGTTTCCACATATAAACTATTGACTAGGGGGATCGGGGACACTACTTTACTCACAGCAAACCCCTAAATTGCTTGGCCAGATTGGGGTGAGAAGAGATCTCACTAGAAACTCAAACAGCAGAAATACGGCATTATGTTGTCCCCAATGGATAAGAAACCTTCAGGAAAATGTTACCTGAACAGATCCATAAAATACAAAACAAATTTTTTGCAATCCCTCTGCACTGGAACGCAGGGCCTTTTATTACCACGTGATCCTGTGCGATTGATCGTACTGCGGGCTGGGGGGGCGTC